CCATCCGTGGACTTACAGAATGCCTTATCCACCGTCATGTATCCCACACAGCATTGCCTCAGATCAAGGGACTCACTTCACAGCAAATGAAGTGCAGCAGTGGGCCCATGCTCATGGAATTCACTGGTCTTACCATGTTCCCCATCATCCTGAAGCAGCTGGCTTGATAGAACAATGGAATGGCCTTATAAAGACACAATTACGGCGCCAGTTAGGTGGCAATACCTTGCAGGGTTGGGGCAATGTTCTCCAGGAGGCTGTATATGCTTTAAACCAGCGTCCAATATATGGTGCTGTTTCTCCCATAGCCAGGATTCACAGGTCCAGGAATCAAGGGGTGGAAATGGGAATGGCGCCACTCACTATTACCCCTAGTGATCCACTTGCAAGATTTTTGCTTCCTGTCCCCTCGACCTTATGCTCTGCAGGCCTAGAGGTCTTAGTCCCAAAGGGAGGAATGCTCCCACCTGGAGACACACCACTGATTCCATTGAACTGGAAGTTAAGAATGCCAGCTGGCCACTTTGGGCTCCTTATGCCTCTGGCTCAACAGGCAAAGAAGGGAGTTACCATACTGACTGGTGTGATTGATCCTGATTACCAGAGGAAATCAGATTGATATTACATAAGGGAGGTAAAGAAGAGTATGTCTGGAATGCAGGAGATTCCTTGGGGCATCTCTTAGTACTACCATGCCCTGTGGTTAAAGTCAATGGAAAACTACAGCAACCTAATTCTGACATGACTACTAATTTCCCAGACCCTTCAGGAATGAAGGTTTGGGTCACCCCACCAGGCAAAGAACCACGACCAGCCGAGGTGCTTGCTGAGGGCAAAGGAAATACAGAATGGGTAGTGGAAGAAGGTAGTTCTAAATACCAGTTACAGCCATGTGACCAGTTGCAGAAACGGGGACTGTAATTGTTATAAGTATTTGTACTTTGTATGTGTGCATCAAATATTTTTGTTTCCTTCACTTATAAAATATAAGCTGTAAATGGGGCTAGTGCGTTTTTGATTGTACGCATGTTAGTTGTATCGTGTTAGGCACAAGTATGACTTCCCCATTGTCTTTATTCAGAGATTATGTATGGTTTAAGGAGATGTGTACATGTGCCAAGTTGACAAGGGGTGGACTGTGATGGTTAAGATTGTGTGTCAACTTGGCTGGGCCATGATTCTCAATGTTTTAATGTAATCACTCCCATGATTCAATATACTGTGAGTAGCCAGTCATATGAAAGGGAGTCTCCTTGGGGGTGTGGCCCGCATCTGTATATAAGCAGACATTCTGGCTTTTTGCTCTCTCTGGATCCTGCACTGCTTCCTGTCATCTCATCTCCCATTCTTGGGACTTGAGCTGTCAGCTTATCTGCCGAACCTGGGATTCGTCGATCTGCACAGCCTGCTCTCCGACCTGCCGATCTTGGGCTTGCCAGCTTCTGCAGCTGTGTGACTTGGGAGAGGCCTCTACCCTGATCCACAGACTTGGGACGTTCTAGCCTCTACAATCACGTGAGCTGTTTCCTTGATCTAATCTCTCTCTATATATATGTATTTATACACTTTACTGGTGTTGCTTTTCTAGAGAAC